TTAGATAAGGTATTCACCTACATTTTCCTGTCCATTTTAAAGTACTTTTCTAACTCAAAATGCTATTTCATATCTCCAAGCTAAAATTTCAGGATCTTCCCTCTACCCAAACAAATTTTAGAGTTCAATTTGACCCATACAAAACAGTCCATCTGAAAGTTATAGTACTCCTCTTTACTTTACAAAGTTGAAGCTTTGTTAATTTTGTAGTGAGCTTGATTTTTAAAACTGCATTTGTACAGTTCGAACGGAAAGAAACCAAAAGGCTTTTCATCTGTTAACAAGGGCTCGTGTAACAGCACACTGCACTTTGTTTCTGTTACTATACCAGTGTTTCGACTTTCATCAGTCTCCATGCCAGTAAAAAGACACAATAAAGGAATTCAGACTCTATCAAGGTTTACTGTGCTCTTTTCAAACAGAAGAGCAAGGGTGTTTCTAAAGCCACAAAAGAACATTTGTAGCAAAGTTTTTACCACTGTCAAATACTATGCTAATAGCAAAGCTTTCAACAAGAGATTCATGGGCTGCCACTTTCAGAAGATGATTAAGATATGCATCAGACCTATGAAGAAGGAAACGGGAAGTAGAGGAATGGAAAAAAACAGCAACCTTTCCGCTGTTCTGTTAAGCCAGGCTGCTGCCTCAGAACCAAACTCCGTACAGTCACTTACTTTAAGAGCAGAGCAGAAGTAATCTTTTTCCAGTATTTACCTTCTCATTTGAATTTAGCACAATGCTAAAATCTCACCAGAAAGCTATTCTGATGATCTTCTAAACTGTCTTTCAAAGAGCTTTTCAAAAGGAGACTTAATTCTTTAAATAAAACAAGTTTCTGAATTTTTATTATGCCAAATTAATTTACACCTACACATTGACACCTATACAACAGGATGTCTGACCAGAACTTGGCAAATATTTATCTTCCCCATATATTCATCAGCATTCACTTGGGTACCCAAAACATAAATGCAATAGCCTCAGAAGCAAAATAGAGCTGATGTAGTTCTTAAAAAGCGTCTTGGTTTAGTTTTTTTTTTAAAGTATATGTGTGTCTGTGTGTGTGCATATATATATGGAATTCCATATATATTATTGCCTCTATTTAAAATGGACTTCAAACAAAAGACAGGTCCACCTGTTTATATGCAAACACACATACTGTTTTGGGAAATGTATCTAGCTGAAAGGGTTAAGGCAAAACTTAGATGTATCTACTATGTTAGTAACATGATTTCAGTGTGTTTATTGCATCCTGTAAAGAAGGGGCTCAATCTCAGCATGCCCATAGTAAGCAATACCAAACAAATACTCACCAAAAGCCAATACTGGCAGCATTACTAAACTCCACAGGAAATTATATCTTCAAAAACCATATATCCATGTTATGTATTTATGGATAGAAGGAATTAAATAATAAGCAAATCGGATGTAGCACATGTAAAGCCTTTATGCTTTATGTTGGAATTCTGCACAGTGCTTTGCCTGCCTTCTCAAGGGCTGACCTCAGAAAATCGAATATGCTGCACAGCTACACAGCACAGGTTCTGTTTCATAAGAAAAAGGCAAAATAGCTCCATAGTTTTGGGTTCTAGTTGGTTTTATGGACCATCACTTGGCATTTTGTTTCCTTCTGTGATGCAGTTTCCCAAGACTTGCAATTCTTCTTAAAAAAGAAACAGGATTTTAAAATGCTTGCAATGAACAGTTATGAACAGCTCACTAACCCACATCACTCACTTAAGTTTGTAATGATGACAACATAGTTCTTTCACTCAAAGTGAAATGACAGATAAAATGTGCACTTTCCTCAGACATAAATGGAAGAAAAAGAAAAAATTGCAAATATTTCTTGAAGATGGTATAAGAACACTTAATGGCCCGCCTGAAAACTTGAGTATGAGACGGCTAAAGCAAAAGGAGAGAATCCTGCTCTATTTACAAATATCATGAAGACGGTCTTAAATTTGAAACTGGGCTTGCTCCAACAATCCATCCACCAAAACCTTCAACAAAATGTTGCCAGCTCTGCTCATCCTATCTCCAGCCACCTTCTTTCTACACTGAATCCTTCTGAAACAATCAATAGGACTTCCAGACATCCACACTACCCTCTATACAACTAACACAATGAATATGCAAATCAAGAGCACCTGAAAGCAGCGCTCCAATCTACTCGGCTCAAAAAAACGTGCCCAAAATTGCTTATTTCCTTTATTTCTCTTTCTTCTCCTTCCTCAGAACTCCTCTCTTCTCTCCATCACCGCTGGTTTCAATGGGAGAAGATGGAGTTCCCAGTGGCCTGCAGATACATGGGGGTGTTGAGGAGAAGACATGTGTCCCCTTCTACAGTTCTCCTACCCTCTTT